ACTATATATCTTTTGCACCACGTTAGTATGTGTTAGTTATGGTTGCTTTCTTGGGATTAAAAATTTTGTAATACCACTTTTTATGATGCTTTTACTGTTTTCTGTATTTTATATTGTATTTCTGTTGTACTTTTTGAACTGCTGTAGGAAACTTCAGTGACTGTGCATACAGTATGCAAATAAACAGGATAATAATTCCAATTATTTTAAAGGAATATCACTATGTTGCAGTTTGTTCCTATAAATTCAGTGCTTGTTATTACGGTTTTTGTATTTTCTAAAGTAAGACTTTAGACTTTTCTAAAGTCTAGTCAGCTTTCCAGACTATGAATTTTTATCAAAACTGAGCACACAATCTATTTGGGACATACAGAAAGGAACTTATTTTGCTGTGTCACAACTTATTAGACTGATAAAAAGCTACTGTAAACTTATGCTAGGATGCAGTTGTTTAAGCAAGGTTACACACTATTTAACTTAACTGTATTAATTGCACATCATTCAGAAAATAACTATTATATTTTTAAAAAGACAATCATAATTAAATGATGGCAATTTATAGTCAAACAATCCTGGATTGTCCTGGACCTACCAGTATATCCCATCCTTTTAGAATGTATTATATTACATACTTGAAGAAGTGTTCTTCAAGCAGAAGAATGGAATGGTGGAAAAGCTAGGTTGAACTTGAATGATCCAAGTCCAGCAGTTACTGTATCTCTGTAATTGGCATCTCCAAGCTAGCTGTAGGAACCGAGAGTGTTTTCTGTTTTGTCATATATCACAATACATCAAATTCCTTATGGGGAAGGTGATGGACCAGTGGCAGAGTACATGCCTTCTATGCAGTGGGTCCCATGTTCATCTACTAAGTTTGAAAAGAATCCTGCTTGAAATCCTAGCAAGCTGCTACCAGTGTTGACCATGCTGGGTCAGAATGACCAAAGGCCTTAAACAATATAAGGCAGCTCCTAAACCCATCAAAATACCTTCTAAGATGCAACCTGGTAATCTGACAGCCCCTGTGCTGCTAATCACTAAATGTCATCTCAGTGTGTCCACTATTTCAATCCTTTTCTTAAGCATGTGTGTGTGTACATATAAGAAATCTGGAAAGTCTAGAGCAGGGGTCCCCAACCCCTGGGCCACGGACTGGTACCGGTATGCAACCACAAATTTAATTCATTTCAGGAGGCCATATCTGCTGTCTAAATTTATTGAAATGTTTAGCATTTGGGAATGGATTATTACACTTTTCATTCTTTCTAATGGGGGAAAATTGATTTTGACTTCAAATGGCCTCCTGAAATGAATTTAGTTCAAAGAATGAGGAACCACTGTAATGTGCTTGAATCATCCCAAAACCATCTCCCCACCCCCCGTCCGTGGAAAAACTGTCTTCCATAAAACCGGTCCTTGATGTAAAAAAGGTTGGGAACCGCTGGTCTAGACACTTAACCATACTATATACAAAACACATGTATACCACATTCTACTTCCCTCTTCTAACCCTAGAACTGTTATCCTAGTAAAGACATCTTAAGTTTATCATGTAACTTTTAAGGCACAATTTTGCTCACATTCCTGCATGGCTGGCAGAGAGCTGTAGGAGTTCTTCTGTCTAAACAGAACAGTTATGCAATTTGTAGCATTACATCTTTAACTGATATATATATATCCATATGAACTCTTCGGGGAAAAACACTTCTTTTGTCCAAGGTGCTCTATATTAGAAGAAAAATTTCTTTCTGCATGGTAACTAAGGTAGAATGCCTTATCTATGCTTTCTGTAAATAATACAAGTAAACCTAAACTGTAGAAATCTGTTGCCTGCTCAATTAACTAAAATGTGCCACCTATCAATTTTAATGATCAACTATAACTGATTAACTCAGTGCTGGAGAATCCTCCAAAATAAAAATAACGTTCCAGAACCATTCCAGAGAGATGGGGATGACTGGAACCACCAGGACAGAGCATATCCTTAGAGCACTCTAGCCTCTTCCCTTCCTCCTCCAAAGCATCTCAGCTTAATGGCAAAAAGAGCTAAAATGTTCAGCAGGAGTTGCAGGGAGAGGGAGATCACCTCTGCCACTCCCCCCTGCTCTGCACTGCATGATAGTAAGTCTCTGATAGGATTGCACCCTTAGCTTCCTGTCCCCTATTTTCCCCTGCAACCACTGCAACTCTGGAAAAAGATTTGCATGGATTCCTCCTGAACTATGGGGGATCAAATGTTGGAGAAGGGTAGGGAAAGCTTCCTCACATCAACATCCTTAAACTAACTTATCTTAGAATCCAAGTCCATGTCTTCGCTTTAATATTTCTGAGGTTCTGCAGAATTTAGCCTTAACTATGAAGTTAGCTATTTTGTAATCAGACAACTACGTAGGTCACTTGACATGTATATTGTCTCTATCTTTTGTTTCATCATAACATGGCATTATATCAATATATTTATGATCTTAAGCATCCTGCATAAACAATGGGATAAATGTCAAAGTACCAGTGATTCACAACCATGGTTTTATACTATATGAGCTCTGCATCACATTTAGATGGGTTTCCAATTGTAATTCTAATTTCTAGAACTTACCCTACAATTGGAGGCCAGGATAAACACACAGCTAATCAATGTTTTCTTGCTGAAAGAGAATGTAGTCTAAAGCTGTAATCTGATACTCATTTACTATACGTGAGCCCCAATGAACTCAATGGGACTTAATTCTGAACAGACATGTATACTAAAGGAACATAAACTGAAGATCACCATTTCAGGTTTCATTTCAGCCAAAAACACTACCAGATAGTTTTAGGGGTAACCCCATTGTTGAATTCTCCCTGTGCTTTCCTGAGAAATATATAAATAATACTGGCCAACCTTACAGGGCTATTGCAAGAATTACTGTACATACTTTAAATTCTGTACATAAATGCTAAATAGTACAATCCTCATGTACAAGTAGACATAAATATGTCATTATCCATAAAGAGTGAAGAATCTATTATATTACATTTCCATTTTTTTTCCAGTGACCATGTCCACAAAACAAAACTCTATTCATTGGAGAAGTTTCTTACTGGTTCCTAATCAGAGCTAGAAATATATCAGGCAACTGGCTCTTAACCTCCTAGGCCTAGAGCAATGATGCCCAAAGGGGGCAGTACCATCCCCTAGGGGCAACAGAAAAATCCAGGTGATTGGTTGTTTAAATTTGCAGTAGAGCAACAGACCTAATACAAAAAAGGGGCATGGGGACACTAGGCTTTTCATCCAAGAGGAAAGGGGAGAGCAGCCCAAAAGTTTGAAATATTCCTTGAGCTTAGCTCAACTTTGTCATTTAAGGATGGTTTTCAAAATTGTGTGGCTAGTACTTAGTTTTTCTTTTAAAAAAGTTCTAGTAACATTTTCATTACTTGTGTTTTGAAATCATCTAAGGAAGAACACACAAATTCATGTAATTTCCCCTTGCCTCCATGACAGACAGCATTACTGTGGCTGCTAAACCAGTAAAAACAACGTAAAAAGTGACAGTGGGGTTGACCATAATGAGGCTGAATCCCTGAACAAATCAAGTTGGCAGTAACATAGGTAGATACCATTCTGCACAAGAAGGCCATGAGAGGCCATGTTGCTGCAGAACCCACAGATCAACTGAATATCAATTCTCACCAAGTGAACAAGTAACTGATTGCAGTACTACTTGTTACCCAAATCTTTCCTCCTTCTTGACTGTGCACTCAAAAGGTTTCAATTCCTAAGTTCCCCCAAGAGTCACTATCTTGGTAAGTATCACAAATAAATACTTATTGAGGCTAAGTTCTACAAGCAATTACAGATACCTAGAAACACACTTGGGAGCCTCCTGTCAAGTATGACTGGCATGCCTGAGTGGAATCAATGTAGCACTTTAAAACATTCTGAAGTAGCAATTAGGACAGAGCAGGATCATGCTAAATATTTTAAAAACAGACAATCAAATCTATAAATTTTATCTTTTTAAAGTTTGTAAAAAATCCGATTGTTTTAATAAACAGAAATATTCCTAGATTTTAGTACATTTTGTACATTTGATCCATATGTAACAAAAAATTTCCATATGTGCATCCACAGCTATGGTAAAGTGAAATCTGGCCAACTGGATACATTACGTTCCCCTCGGAAGTCCTGGGTTCCTTTCCGTATCTGGCATTTTACTCCAACCTAGGCTGACAATCCAAGCTTAGCTACTTTTGGTGAAGCTGGAGTTTAATATGGGAAAGAGTTTATATCCTTAAAAATACACTGTCATCTACACAAGCATGTGCTACTTTTTTGGGGGTAGGGGGAATCAGCCTTCACTAACCAGCAGCCTTCCAACCTTACTCAACCTTATTTCAATCCAAGGATCTAGAGAAGGAAATACAAGCCTTTTTTCTTTCCACTTCTATGAATGGTGATTCATATCTGATTATGAATGAATAACAAATCAACTTACTTCGAATGTATTAATTCACAATAAAAGTATGCATTTTTGTTTATGTGATGCAGCTAAAACGTACTGCATACATCTACTTCCTCATGTAGTGCTCTATCATAACCAAACCTCCGGATTATTTGGTATAAATAAAACAAACCAACTTAAAAACAAAAATATGTCAGACACTTTCTGTCAGGAACCGTATTTTCTTGCCTGGAATTTAGAGCTTTTTAAAAAGGCTCAAACAAGTGAAGCATGCGTGTAATACCAGTAGCCAGCACCCGCCCACAGATATCACCCCGACTACATATTTTTCTGAAGCACCATCCCCGCGAAACCCAGTGCGATATTCTAGCATCAGCTTCTCTTCTCTCACAGTTCTTTCCCCAGGCCCTGCCTCGACTAAAAGCATCTTCTCTCTAAAGTCATACCAGTCCTACCTGGCAAGCCGCCCTCCTTGAACCCATGCTCGCCCGCCCCAGCTCCAAATGCCCCGTATCCACGCTGCCATCCCAGCCTTCCGCCCCTTATTTGGCTCACCTGGTACCCCCAACATTGAGCTGTATAATCTCCCCGCTCCCTGCACCAGCAGAGCCCGCGCCGTTCCCCGCCATCTTTTTCAGCAGCAGCTCTTGCTCGGAGCACCGCCTGCCGCTTTCGCCGCCGCCGCCGCCGCCAGCCGCCACCCCGGAATCGAGGGAGGGGGGAGGGGGAGGCGGCGGCGGCGGCGGCGGGGCCGGGGGAGAAAAGGGGGCGTCCAGCGAGGCCGCGCCGCCCGCCACAACAGGCACCAGCCGCGCCGAGGGAAAGGCTGCCAGTTCGGGGCGGGGCGGGGCGGGAAGCCGAGGCCGCGTCGTTCTTCTGCCGCGTCAGGCGGCCAGGGAAGGCCGCGTCGCCAGGGCCACAGCAGCGGCCTCCGACCCTCTCCCCGGCCGCAAACGTTTCTGCTCTCTACGGCGAAAAAATGCCATAGCAACGCGCGGCACCTGGCGGAGGGGACTCCGCGAGGAACAAAATACCCGCGGCGGCGGCGGCTTCGGTGCGCGGGAGATCAGTGCGAAGGAAGCGAAAAGCGTGAGCGGAACTCTGGGCGGAGTCGAGCAGGTGACGCCCACGGAACGCCGCCTCGCCTCGGTGTTCCCGTGGAGTGGAAGCCCCGTCGTCGGGCCTGGCCTGCGTGCTAAGCGCGCACGTGGAGATCCTGCAGCTCAACCCTGCCGACGGCTAACCAGGAGCAAGCCCTACCGAGTGCGACACACCTTACTCCCAAATACAGCTCCCCTCGTATGCTGCTCGACTGAAGAGTCCAAAAGCCTTTGCCAAACTGCTCATAAAAAGTTGTAGCATCTCCAGAACTGCCAGCGCAACTGTTGAGGTGCTTAGGGAGTGGCAGCCCTCCCAAACCCCTTAGGGGACCTATGGATATGTCATAAAGTACACGAAGAAACAAGTGGCATCCGTTGGAGAATAGCGTACAGATAGTCCCTGGGCTATAAATAAGTTCACAAAAACATCTTGCCCAATACAACAATGTAATAATGACAAGACACTAATAATAAAGTAGCTACAAGTACTGAATAGAGAGAGAATCTGTACTGTAACTTACCTCTTATGCCTGGTTTAATGTATGTTGAGCTTTACTGTCTGTTTGTCTTTAATGAATCCGAATAAAAAATAACTTGAATCTTTAAAAGTGACTTACTAGTCCTTCATTATCTTCTGAAGTTGTCTGATAATGGGTTGCGAGGGCAATATAGTCCAATGCCTGCTTATTACCTTCAAAACACTTTAATCCCTGGAGAATTAGTGCAGTGCTGGCTTAGCATTTGTTGAACTTTCAGTTCAGGTTCCTGATGGAGCACAATGCTTATGTGAAGAAGGGGGCAAAGATGTAGCCTGAGGTTTTGAAGAGCTCACTGGGAGAAGGTGAAAACATTTGGTTTAAGGAAATGGGTTTTAGCAACTATCTCTAGGTAACTGCATGGTCTCTGATTATGTGTCACCAAACCTGTAGCATAGTTCTCTAGAGATATTCACAGCTTTTCATGAGAGATATTCTTACTGGTTTTATGATGGTCCACACATTTTAAGTACAATTTTTGAATGCATTTTGTTTCTAATCCAGACGTTTGTAACAAGGGAACTATCTGCATATACTTCAAGAATGGCTAATCTGACTCCCACTGTAGTGGTATATCCCCCTTTTGACCCCATCAGAAAGTAGACTGTAAATTAAGTCAAGGTAGATGGTGGAAGCCTGCACCACTTGGAAAGGATCACTATCTTGCATCTTAACAGGAACTGACCGTCCTAGCCTCCCTCTCCAAAAAGCTGCAGAAACATATGCAGATATTTAAGAATCACTAGTAAATGAAAGAGGAAGTTGTGCATCTACAGTACAGAACAATTATTGCTTCACAATAAGGAGATGTTCAGGCCTTGAACATTCTTCTTATCAGCTAGGCCTGGTAGGAAAATAACCACATGTACTTGTTGTGAAGGCAATTATTATGCATCTATCTGTGATAATCTGTGATAATCCAGGATGTATAGCCAGAAATGTGGCTTCCAGATCTAGGGAGGTGTTGGTACCACTCTGCACAACTTTGGTGCACCCACCACTGGAGTACTGCATCCAGTTCTGGGCTCCACTTTATAGGAGAGACATAGCTAGGTTAGAAATGGTTGAGCATAGGGTCACAAGAATGGTAGTCAGTTTAGGAGGGATGACATATGAGGAGAGATTGATGGAACTGGGTCCTTTCAGCCTGGAGAAGAGGAGACTCTGGAGGGATCTTTTAGCAACTTACAGGCATGTGAAGGGATGTCATATGGAGGTGGGCCATGACCTGTTCTTCCCTGCAATAGAGGGCAGGGCACATTCCAATGGGACAAAGATCAAGCAAGCAGGCTTCAGGTTGGATGTCAGAAAGAACTTCCTGATGGTTAGGAACCCTAGGATATGGAATGAGCTTCCAAGGAAGGTGGTTGAGGTCCCATCAGTGAGGGTGTTCAAGGAAAGATTGGACAACCACATGTTGGGGAATACATGTGGAGCCAGCTGGAGCTGGGGTCAGACTAGATAGCCCAGGAAGCCCCTTCTGACTTGCTTTGTTTCTATGTTTCTATGTAGTCTGTTATGCCTCACATTATGTTTTGATGCAAGATTAAATCTATACATAGGGGTTAATTGGTGCATCAGTGATTATAATTTATATACATATTAATTGGTTAAATTTCTGTTTAATCTGCACAACCAAAGAATGCTATATAAGCAAATTTTCTGGGAAACGGCCAGACCCTCTTACTCTGACACTTGTTGCTTTTAGGGGGCACCCTCTCAGTTTCAACTCTCCTTCAATTGCTGATGGGCATGCTTAATTAAACCTACTTTGAGTGAATCTAAAGAGTGAAGTTTCTTTCCCCCCTACACTACAGGTCTGCAAATTTCCCCTCTATTTGCTACTCAACCCTTAAATGTAAACCAAATTCCTCTCCATTTACTTCATTTCCTTACACATTCGCATATTTATCCTAGTCCAAAATAATATGCGAATACTTCTAGCAGATAAAAAGCAAGACAAACCACTTAAGATGGGGCAGAATAGAACAGAACAGAACAAATGGGACATCAGCATCAGTGGGCTCCCAGGGGCCCATTCACACTGTCCCATTATGTGCACTGTGCAGGAGTGTAGAACTTCTGAGGAACCACAGCTGCAGAAAGAAGCTACTGCAGGAGCCAACTTCAACCCTCCAGCCTCTTTGCGCATACCAGTGAGGAGGAAGCAGGCAGCATAGGCAGGGAGTGATGTACCTTGGGACTGAATTTCAGTTGTGGTGGCTGATGCGATACATTCCAGCCTCTGGAGGAGTGAGAAGAGAGGATGGAAACCATGATAACAAAGAAACCACTTGACTTTCTGATCATGGTAAAAGAACACAGATTGTGGTAACCATGTAGGGTTGCTTGTTTTTCATGTAAAGAGAAGGAGAAGATAGGGGAGGAAAGAGAAGAGAGAAGTTGAGGAGGCAGGGAAAGGAATTAGCTAACATCAGGGTTGTGCCCTTTCTGCAACTGCATATAACTGTCTGGGAATCTGATGCAGACTAAGCTATTGGCTTACAGGAGCTTATTATCACTGTGCTCCATTATCGTATTTTTAAATAAAGCAAATGTCATTAAGAGCTAACCTATACTCTGACCCAGTTCTCATGAGCATAGTGAAGGCCATGCATGTTGGTAGGATTTGCATAATCACTCTCACTGGTGTGGCCTACCATGTTGTCCAAATCTGGTGATGGCTGCTTGTTGTTAGGATTCTGGGGATGGTTAACAAGCCACCCCAGAACCCTAAATGAACCTATGGATTCTGGGTGGCTTGCTAGCCACATGTCAGGACATTACGTTAAAACACAAGTTTCAGAGATTGAGCTTAATGTTGCCCCTTTCATTTTAACTTACTTCTGGCCAAAAATTACTTCCTCCACAGCCCACAAATGGGTATTTGTTCCATAAGGTTATTTTTACTAGATATACTGTTTTATACCTTTTGGGGAAAATAGTGGCTGGGTAGCTTTTTAGTGGGCAAATTTCAGGAGGTCCCATTCTGGATCAGGATGTCATCACTTGGCCAGGGCACTACACAGCTGCTTCTCCGTCAGCGTAAAAGCAACAGACGATGCTGGATGCAGGCTCTGGAGGGCCTTTGGGCCTACATGAGGCTCCCTGGCTCAAGCATTCAACCTTCTCATAAGCATTGCCCCAGATGCCATCCCTTCTTTCTCAGAAGGGATGCCATCCCTTATTCTTTCTCACCCATTCTTTCTCAGAATTGCTACCACTTGTTTCCTTGAGAGAGAAAGCGCTTGTGAACAAATCGATACTCAAGCAGGGCTGCACAGGTGCCCTAGCACACCATTATTCCTAAGGTGTTTTAACGATCAAGGTGTAAGGGAGGGGGAAAGGTGCATTTGTACCACCCTAGATTAATGCTGAGAAGACCCTGATGCTGGGAACAATTGACGGCAAAAGAAGGGGACGGCAGAGGATGAGGTGGCTGGATGGAGTCACTGAAGCAGTCGGTGTGAGCTTAAGTGGACTCCGGGAGATGGTGGAGGACAGGAAGGCCTGGAAAAATGTTGTCCATGGGGTCGCGATGGGTCAGACGCGACTTTGCAACTAACAACAATAACAAGATTAATGCCACTTTTACTATTTTTTAATTCTTTGGCTTCTAATACAAAACATTTGAGATAACAAAATTAATTCTTTATTGCGTTTGTTAAAATATAGCCACTATCTATAAAATATTAAACTATGGTTGTTCAAGAAAGGGACATAGTTGTGATACTAACATTTGCCCACTAGATGGGTGTATTGGCCTGGGATTGGTATTAATAATTCCAGTGTATCTGTTTTATTAAAATGTGTTCCAAAAACTACATCCTTCTGTATATTGTCATATGATGCTACTGCATTCATGCTTTTTCCTAGTAGAACTGATCCAATAGAGCAGAAAGTCCCAAGACAGCAGGGATAATCTTTCTCCTACTTCCTACAGAGCTAGCTGATCTGATCACTATTAGTAAGAAATACACAAGAATGTTATTTCCAAAATTCACTGTTTGCACCCCAAAATACAACTGCACTG